ATAAACAAAATGAAATTGTTTGCTTCTCTGTTGTATTATCTAAAGAACGCCATGAGAGACTTGAACTTTTTCAAAGTAACGTTCCAAAGCTCTGTTCTGTTCTTTGTAACCTTCTATTTGTCTAAGAGACTCTTCATATTTACTACGAGTAGCAGCATACGACTTCCCTCCCTAAGAAATGAAGTTGAGCATGAAAGGAAAAGCCATACTCGCTGCTCCTTTGTAGATCCCTGTTTAAACTGGAAAAGGTAATACATTTCTGATATTGGAATATGAAACGAGATCGAATTTCCAGAAACGGTCTTATAAACTACCTCATATAATACAACGATTTATGTCGTTACACGTCTAAGAACAATATATACTTTTTTTCTATAAATAGTTGACATATTAAAACGTTCTTGATTTACATTATTATATTGTATTTTTTTTTAAATAAATGGAAAATTGTTTCGCCTTATGCAATAAGTTACTGTATAAATGTTTACTTCTCATTTTCGTTTGATACTAAATTTGTACTTAATTTACAATAAAGAAATTTTATATTACTATATTCACATGAAACGAGTATAATTACTAAATTTAGCTTGTGTCTCCCTCAATGTAAGACTCACTTGTTAATGTTTATTTTATTGGGCAAATGTTGAAGTGGGAAAATATGGTATACATTCACTTGTTTTTTCGTAATTTATCATTTTTTTTTTTTTTTTATTTTCTCGAACGTGATGGGGGACCAACTTTAATTGTCAGTCATCTACAATTGAAAAAGGACAAGTACTACTGCTCGTGAATGTGTTTTCTTTGTAAAGGTCTGCTATGTCATCTTCCCTTGTGTGAATCAAAAACTGCATCATGAGTGAGTTGCTCACGCCTGTTGTATATCCCCAATCTTAGACGCAGTCGATAGTCAACCGAACGCAACCTGAGCCCTATCGGATATCCACATCCTTAGACGCAATCGAAAGTCGATCGATGATGTAAGTTACTTATTTATTTATTATATTTCTTTCTGATATTTTTAGTCTTATCATATGACTTTCACAAGGCGGATAAAAGGATTCACTAAACAGAGCCTCACTTTTTACATTGTAGTGGTCCAAGAACGAATTTGGAGTTGGAAATTACGTTAACTTGATCTCATCAGAAAACCTGATCTCTAATTATAATAAAAACGTTTTGACGATTAATAGGAACTTAGCCCAGGGGCCCCTGAATAGCTTTTATAATTAACATTTATAATTGAACATTGGTCAAAATAAAGTGTTTTACAATGTACGATAAAGTTTGTTGATAAATCATTGTTCATATAAGCGTGCATGAACTTTTCTTTAACATGATAGAAATTAATCAATATTCAATAAAACTAATAAAATATTGACAAATTATTAAATTTCGAAGAAACTAATTATGATTTTAACCGCAAAAAAATATAAAATGTTTGGTCAATAAAACTAATGATTCTTTCGTATATGAACATATATACTTTAAAATCATTCTAGTGTCATTTTAGTTTCACGTGTGGCCGAAAACAAGTAAACTATCTGAGAAAAATTATTATGTGTATTTGGTATTTGGTGTGTTGATTCAAAAGTTGAAAAGATATTCGATCCATTGATGATATGGTCCTTGTTAACAAGACGAAATGTATGGAGTTTTTCCTTATGTAGCTCCTGAGATTTTGAACGGAAGTTCAGTAACAAAAGTGATCTTTAAACTTTGGTTATATTTGGAGATTCTTTATTTTTCTCACACAAACGACAACTCATATGACAAGAACAAAAAATAAAAAAAATAAAAAAAATAATGTTTTAGTGTCGAACCTTATTAACGTTATAATATTCATTTACTTCTTAGACAACAATTACGAGAAAGTGGAAGAAGTGAGAAAAGCTCGGTCGGTATATTTTTTTTCATTATTTATTATTATTATTATTATTATTATTTTCCTGTACAGACGAATAGCGGACGGACGGAGTATCATTGGAGTTCGACTTGGGGTAATAAATGGGGCTTTCCTTAAATATTTTGAAAATTTGATAATTTAATTATATGTTGATTTGCTGCATCTTTGTAATTTGTCATTGTCATGGCATGAATAATTCCTTTTAATAAATTGTTTTTATTAAATCACCAGAATAATTTTCAAAATCACAAAATAATTCTACATTGCTTGCTCGAAATGATTTGCACTGAACTGGACATATTTTTGTTTGTAACAATAGGATATATGTTTTATACTATGCAAACTTATTTTCATAGTTAATTAGTTAGTATCCTTTAATAAATCTGAAAATACATTCTGTTTCAAAATATTTAATGAACAAAAAAATTGGATATAATTATTGAATTATAGTAAACGTTATGTGATAGACTTTTTACTTTTTATGAAATAAATTTTTTTTTCTTTTTACAAATGAATTATGGAATCCTCTGAAAATCTTAAAAAACTACTATAGCGGTAAGCAAGCTATTATAATTACATTTACAAAAATTTAAAAAAAAGGATCTTTAAATTGCAACCTTCACGTAGCATTAAATATGTTCACTATCACAGGAGATGGATTTTTGTCGAGCAATCGTAAGGATGAGAATGAAATCAATTTCATATTCCATGTTCATATGCCAGAAAATATTGATACAATTGGTCAACCCGTAGTTCTTGGTGATGGGCAAGAATTAGAATCTTGGGAGCAACCCAATATAAAACTTCATCTGCCACTTCCTCAAAATCCTACATATTGGCGATCTGACGATCTGACTCTGTTACTATTTCCGTATCAATTATCGCTGAAGGTTATGATATTCAATACAAATACGTTATTTGTGAAAAAGAAGTGAAAAAAATATCCTTGAAGGAAATGGCAATCGAGAAAATCACACTTTGGATATTATGAGAATGATCAATTCGGTATATGGAAAAATACTTATGATCTACCTAACAAATTTCGCATTTTTCCAAAATCTATCCGCGATTATGCTTTTATTATATTTATGATTCTATCGAAGTTGAAAACCTTAAAGTTATGGATTATCAATATTTATTAACGATTTACAATGAACTTACGATTCGTGTGTCAGAACCAAATTTTATTATCAATCATATTGATGATAAATTAAGAGAAAAACGACTTTTTTCTTGTCTTGTCTTAGGATATTTTGTGTCGAGACAAGATACAATTTACGAATTACCAATCAATTTCCATCTGGTTTATTGCTCGATGCACTTGAGGGTCATAAGCAAGAAGTATTACCAATAGATACTATTTTCAAATGCAATTTCATAGGCTAAAGATTTTTACGATCGCTATTGTAGCTGACCCTAATTATACTTTCATTGATCGGTTAATATCTTAGCAAATTTTATTAAAGAAATCAAAATTATTAGGCCTTATATTGATGGCATTGATTTTGAAACTTACGTTAACTTGTAAAGGTAATTTCTTAAAAATATTTATTTTTTTTTTTATTTTTTTTTTTTTTCAAAATAATATTTGAATATCGAAATTATTCGGATATCGAAATTGATTTCAAATATCGGATTTCGAATATCAAAATCAATCAATTCGATCGATCTTATTAATTTTTATTTTTTTTTTAATTTAATATTTTTCTTTTCTTCCATCAATTCTTTTTTTTTTGATATAATTTTTTTTTTATTTTTTTAATTTCGTAATTTATTTTTTTTATATGTTCTTTTCGAAATGATTTTCGATATCCGAAATCAATTCGATATTCGTTTGAAATTATTTTAAAAAACTTTCAAATATTTGAAATGAAATTTGTATTTCAAACGGAAACCATAAGAAGATACAAAATATTTGTGTAACTTGGTTTACACATTTTTGACCAAGTTGGGCACAAATAAGAAAACTGATTCAAATGAGATTAGTGATAATAACATTATTTTTTTTAGTATTTCAACAATTAGAACATATGGGAGGCGGTCAGTAGAAAGGGGAAATCCACTTTTAGTCAAAAATTTTTTTATTGGTTCACTCTGCCGATCATGGTCGTGTGAACAAAACTAGCTTAATAACTAAAATTACTAGATTTCCCCTTTTCTATTGACCGCTCCCCCCATATGTATCCTTTGCTTGGTTAAAGGATAAACCTTAGGCGAGAGATAACCTCCATTGATATAAAAAGAGTGAAGGGATGTTCTGAAATTCAAATATTTGCCACAACAAAATTAATAATGAAGATACAGCGCATGGAAATCAAAAAATTATTTTTAGAGATGATTAAAGAAATACTACGTAAGACAGTTCAACAAGTTGATGATCAGTTAAATTGCGATTGCAAAAACTTTAATTGTTCCAAATCCGTAAGTTTCATTATGATTGTCTTCATTAATTCCTGAAGATCACTAATTTGTTATTTTATTTTATGTAATAATTGTTAGGATAAGCGAAGAGATTTTATTGTTATATAATGATTAAATTGCAAAACCAATCTTTTACTTCTTTGGAAAATCATTTAAACGTTTTAAAAGGTAGTAAATTTTGGAAAGTTATATTATGCGCTACTGGAAATGTTGAAAAACTTCATTCAAACCCATTCGTCCAGCGTATTAAAACTTCTATAAACAAACTTTGCGGATTACTCCTTAAAAAAAAATTTACAACAACTTTTAAAATATTCAGATGATGAATTATTTTTTCATTTTGATGCAGCTGTTGCCAAAAAGAAATATTTAAGTGATATGATCAAGGAAGGCAAAGATTAAAGGCTGAAGTTCTCAAAAGCAAAGAATTGAGACGGAAAAATTTAGCAGATATTACTAAAATAATTTCTGCTAAAAACAATAAACCAATCTCCAAAAGAACTATTCGCCGTGCACTTCATGAGGAAAATGTGTCTTCTTGTATTCCTCGAAAGAAACCTTTAATTTCAGCAATTAACAAGACTAAAAGGCTTGCATGGGCAATGGAAAGAAAAGATTGGACCATTGAAGACTGGAAAAAAATAGTCTGGACAGACGAGTCCACTTTTTCTCAATTTCACAAATCTGGATGGGGACGAGTGTGGCGAGAACCAGGAGAGGAATTTCATGAAGATTGTATTGCATCGACTGTAAAACATTCTCCTCAAAGGATGTTTTGGGCATGTTTTTCTTTTTTAAAGTTGAGACCCATTATACCACTTAAAGGTTCAGTTACTAGAGAAGTTTACAAAGGTATTCTTACCACTTATGCAGTTCTAATGCTCAAGGAATTTTCCTGAAAAACAAAAAAAAAATTAATTTTTCAGGAAGACAATGCACCAGTTCACACTTCAAAGGTTACATGAGAGTTTTTGCTTTTTTAAAAGGTAGATTTACTTCCATGGCCTGCTCAAAGACCTAATCTTAATCCAATTGAGAATATCTGGTCTATAATTGAGGTAGAAATTCAAAAATTCAATCCTTAACCTTCAAGCATTTCTGAGCTTAAAAAGGCGGTAAAAGAAGCGTGGAATGTGATATCGCAAAAAGAGTACTGAAACTTGGTGCGATCAATGCTAAATAGAATTCAGGCTGTGATCGATGCTAATAGAGGACATACTAAAATTAATGTCAGTTTTCAAAAAATAAAAAAAAATTGTATATTTCTGTAAAAAAATAAAAAATTATTGAAAAAATAAAAGCGTGCAATACTTTTGTCCCCCGGTACTTAACCTAAATGTTAGCGAACTAGTTGGACTAGGTAAGCTTAAAGGCTCTTCCAAACCAATTGATCTGAAACCTGTAGCCATATTTGTTAAATTGTCACTTTCATTTATAACATTATTTTCTCCGCTAGTAGGTTTCTGCTGCAAGACCTCTTCGGGCTTGGATTCAACACCAGGCTCAGGAGCTACCTGAGATATCTCTTCTAATGATGTATAATCAACTTTGAATAGTTCTTCCTTCTTTTCAAGTTCAGCTAGTTTTTCAATTGCTTCATCAAAATTGATTCCTCGCCAACATAATATTGAAGAAGTGATAATTTTGTTAAAGCGTCAAATTTAGATTCAAGATTTTCTAAACTATCCTTATTACTTGATATTATATCTTTTGGTTCATCTGTCTCCGGTGATGATATACCGTATTCTTCTGAAAATAAGCAACCAACAAAAATAAGCAACTCTTAAAATAAATAATACCTGAAAGTAAGCAACACATTGAATATTTAATTAGTTTCACATTAAAACTATATGTAATGTAATAATATTTTAAATAATAAAATAAAGCTCAAATAAACCAAAAAAAAAAGTATTTTAATAATGAATTTTTATAAAATAATTGCTTGCGTCACTATCGTAAAATACACATATTAATCGCAAAATTTTAACAACTTCGCTGTCATCACTATCATGGCTATTATCATTATCACTACAATCATCACTACCAGTGTTATCATCACCATCATCACTATCAACGCTATTTACATCATCATCGCTAATTTCCAATTCAGAAACTGATTCGTTTAAATTGGTTGAAATTTTACAAGTCTTGAAAGATTCTATGATTGTTTATCATGGATTGCTTCCCAAGCAAACTTTACCAACAAGCATACATCACCCAATCTAGCAAGGCGAAGATTTCTCGTGGCAGTTTCTCCAGCATCCAAGTATACGAAACAATTGGCATTTTTTATTTGTTGCAATTGACGTGGCGTAAAACAAGTTCGTAAACCAGTTCACGATTCACGTAACATATATTAAATGAATGGTAGTCATGTTAATTTTATAACATGAAAAATAAAACTATACAGTACATTAAAAAAAATTTAACTACCCGAAAATAAGCAACGTTATAACAAAATTACGTTGCTTATTTTCGGAGGAATACGGTAGAAACTTTATCAAATTAGTAACTTAATTCTACAAATATATAACATTATTTTTGGCTGGATACTTTCGCCCTATTTAATGTTCTCATCTATCCCTGGAAATTTAAATATTTATTTATGATAAACCTTTCTTTTCATGATCTTTTTGACAAATATCATTATTCGTCCTCTAGAATAGATGCCATTATATCGTTTTTTTTAATATTCGACATTCTCCTTTTGCAGGTTCGAACATTTGATAATTCTTTCACAATCTTATTACAAAGTACAGTCAACCTTCTCTAAATGCACCACCTCGGGACCATAGTGAAAATTTTAAAAAATGTGCATTTAAAGAGGGTGTGCATTTAAAGAGAAAATTTCTATATGAATTCTATATGTTTGGGACTGAACGAGAGCGTGCATTTAGAGAGGGTTGACTGTATTTGATTTCTAATCAAAATGCAATAAAAAATGTCATAATACTTTAAGAATTTCAAAAAAAATATTTCACATCTTCTGGCACGAATAATTTTGACATTGTCCGAACGTTATTTCGATACATCTGGACATTCATTGCATAAGACTCGGTTGAAGATGTTAATTGTAAACACGTTTAACATAATTAATCTACAACCTTCGCAATTAGAACATTGATAATAACGGAAAATTAGGTGGCTACGTTCGAACCGAAAAAGTATATAGAAAAAAATTGAAAACTAAATGAATTTGAAAAAATTTTTTATGAAAATTTATTTATTTTTACAAATTTGAAATTATTTAAATTTTATTCTTTACCACACGTACGCTTATAACCACGAACAATAATAAAAAACGATAATATACCTACTTTTCATTTCGTTACGGGGAAAATTCCATAGTCCTAACTTAAATGCGCTAAAAGCTTAGTTAATATTGTTATTGCTACAGAGGGACAACTCAAAAAAAAGAGACAGTGGGACAAATTACTCTGACTCGTTCAAAAAAAAAGGATAATAAAACTCGATTATATTTTTCACCGCTTAGCTTTTAGACTAAATAGATACTTAAAGTAAAGATTCAGGCCGAACCTTATGAAGAATTTCTAAATTAATTTCGACTTAAGGGCTAAACTATTATCTTCTGATCATATCTTGAAGTAGTAAAATAATTTTGTTGATAATAACTTTATGAAAGGACTTAATTTTAATCGAAACCAAGATCCTAAATCTAACTAAGGCCCGTTCTAGGAAATATTTAAATAACGATATTATCTGCACAATTTTCTAGAGTAGTTAGTTATCACAGTCAGAGTATATATAAAGGTTAAAGGGTAACATAGAATCTTTATTCAATTATAGGATTCGGAAGTATTTTCTCAAGACTCGTCAACCATTCTCTTCAATTACGTTTGTCTTTTTGAGGTTTCATACGAAAAGTTCCAGATTCTAGCTTTACTACATAAGATAATAATATAATAAATTTTATAAACATAGCGAAAGTAGTGTTACATTGAATATAATTTCGACCGGAGACACCATAATTTCGTAAGTAATCGTTCTCGATATTTGCAATGTAAAAAATACATTTACCTAGAATCAATGGTAGTTTTATATCATTTTTCCTTTATTTATTTTAATGAATTTTCTATTTTCTATAACTTTATTTTCAGGCGTATAATAAATAAAAAATTCAATGATGTAAACATTTATGAGACTTACAATGTTTCTTAACTGCATTTTATGTGAAGCATGATGTTTAGTTAAGGTTAAAATTAGTTTCAGACCGGTACTATAACTTTGACCAGATCTAGGTGACCACCTAATTCTGACCAATAACTTAGTTTCGATATTTCGTCGTTTGATGGTGTAATTTTAAAATATACTGTACAATGGGAACAAAAAAAAAAAATAAATAAATTAAATAAATTCGGAATTGTGCTTTAAAACAACAAAATATGAAAGCTTATTTTTTTAGTACGACTATTAATGGAGATTCATTAATCATACTAACCCAATTAGGCTTGAATAATTTTCGAAAGGATTGGCTGTAAAACAAACATTATCGACAATCGATCGTATCGACAATTTTAATCGGTGATTCTGTCATCATGAATTTTAATCGTTCTTTTGAAACTTGAGATTGAAATCGAAAGTTCTTGAGCCGTACTGACATGACAGTGCTTTAACATCCCCTTCGAGATTTACGGCTGTACATTCTGGGGACAAATCGAAACTTATTAATAATATCTTGTTAATACACTAATTAATTAGATCTCAATTAGAAATAAATTTGTCATTTTATTGATTTTATTGAAAAATTATTAATAAAATTATAAGAGACAAGATTCTTGGTAATATATTGCAAGTTGTTAGTATCTTAGCTAATTAGGCAAGCTTGTCAATCATTGTAATAATTATCTCAAACAACATTTTAAAATCTCATGTTAAACTATATATAGGTCAATAGTAGAGGTTGGAACCGGCCAAAAATTCTTTAACCGGTTAATAACCGGTTAAAATATTTGTTAACCGTTTAATTAACCGGTTAAAATTAACTTTGGCCAGTACTATAAATTTGGCTAGAGTTAGACAATATTTTGGCAATCATAAAAATCTTAATTCTGGCCGGAAATTAAATTTCGGCCGGATTTAAATTCATCTATTTTAACCGGTTAAAAAAATCTTTAACCATTTTAACCGGTTAATTAACCGGTTAAAAATTAACCGGTTCCAACCTCTAGTCAATAGTAAAATACCATCATCGATGGGAGGAGCCAATGAGACATATTCAATTGCTCATATTGGTGGGTCATAAAATACATCGGCTATCGGGATGTTGATTTGAAATGCAGGAAGATTTGGAGCATCTCACCCAGTGGGGTTATCGTCACCTTTTGTTTAGTTCCAAATTCCCACTAAAAATTTAAGAAAAAACATACTTTAATCATCACAGATAAAAGCAATACATAGAAAATCTTAATAGATTAACTTTACTTCTTGAAATTGCACTCCCTGTCTCCATAATACTGTCTAAATATCAAAAAAACTTTAAATTTCAATAAAAGAAACTATAAAATGATAAACCAAATAATATAGAAACATACCGTCATTGCTCGATCAAAATGCCCTTGTGTATTTCGCGTTACTTGTCTTGTTTTTAATTCCTAGTACATACAGATCTAACACAGCGTTTGCCTTTGGCCGTTTGGTCGAGGTTTGGGTATTGGCTTTTTTCCGGCCAAAATTGCTAAAAAATTCTTGGCCGCGGCCAAAATCTCAATCAAATTTATTAAAATCTAGTTATTGGCCAAAATTTGGCTGTTTGGCCATTTTAGCCATTGGCCACAGCCAAATGCCAACTCTGTTCTAACATATTGTTCTTTCAACCAGAGATGACACTTGTTCGTCAGATCACGGAAACTTTGACCCATCGCAACCTCACAAATAATTCTTGCGTGATGATTTCCCTATAAATATCAGAAAATAGCAATATAAAACAGAAAAATAAAATACACCAAAAACAAATAAGTCATAGTCTGTTGTGTCCAGGAATTTAAAGTATTGGAACGTAAATTTCACTTGGTTGATATGTAACGTAGTGTTGGCCTTTGGCCATTTGGTCAAAATTTACCATTGGCCGCTTAGCCAGTTTGACCGACCAAAATGAAAAATCTTGACCGCAGCCAATGATACCTCCATTTGTAAATGGATGGTGGTCTATGAAATAAATGTGGTAAATTAAAAAATCCATAAAAAACTAAATATCAAGCAAGTTGGATTCTCTTACCTATTGCACTAGAAACCTTTATTGGTTTGGTCTATTATGTATATTGAAACCATTATTGGGAAGACCAAAGAAATATTGCTGGCTGCAACAGCTCGTCCACGTGGGGTTGAGCACATGTCGAGTATAAATACATTACCATCTGGATAATTAAATTTATAAGATGACTCGAGATTCAAGGAATTTTCTCACTGATATGTTTCAACCGATCTCAAAGGCAAACTACAATCCATACGAGTTAACAACCTTATGTGTAGCACAACTACTATCTTCTTCCAGACGCTTCTTTTGTAATCTTATATTCTGCATTCTTACCAGGATTGGAACATTTTGTTATTTTCTTTGCGAAATATTCTGAAGAGTAAATAAAGCAAAATTAAAAAAGCCACCTGATAAATGATGAAATGGTGTCCGATACTGAATTTTTAAATTATGAAGCCAAAGGTGAGTTGTTTCTAAACAGCTTAAAATTTGCAAAATATTTAGTCATAGATTTCAAAGAGTTTGATAAGAACCGAAAACAATATATGAAATTTATGATAATCAACCTATTATCTTGGATATTGTTGATATCGCAAAGAAGATTATGGATTCTATATAAGAAGCTGATGAATTATAGTCACAACTACATAAGTATAACTGGTATAGTACCTGGTCCATGGGACTTTTTATAATACCAACAATCAAGTCTGTTTAGAAAAACAAAACGAATATAGTTATAGATCGTCAGAATATATTATACAAAATTAAACACAGAAATGGTTGAAAACAGTATAGAAAAATTTGGAAACTAGAATCAAGGAATAAAACAAAATAACGAAGGATTCCGTTCGCAATTCAAATATTTAAAGGAAAAGGATAAAGAACGAGAAGAAGAGTCCAAAGATTACAGTAAATCTTGAATTGACTTATATAATAAAGATACTATTATAGTTTAACAATTACGTACATCAATAAGAATGACATAATTAAACACCTTAGAAGGATTGCAAAGATATAGTAATTTGTCACACCTCGATCGTAATAAAACTCAAATCAATAGTATACCAACCTTTACCTAACTCCTTAATTGCTCATATACTCAAATGATAGCTTGTCATTACAATCATATTTAAAATAATTGTTTAATAAGCTAGATTTGGTAAAGGTAACCATTCTATTAATATAATTTGATTCGATTCGTCATTTATAACTAAAATAATACTGTAATATTTCTTTAACACAATCAGAAAGTATCAACAGATGTCTCGTGTTGATTTTCCCTATCACTAAACAAGCGTTGCGAAATTTCTAAGACGAAAATTTTGATAACGATAAGATTATTATTAATAATCTTATAGAATTACATATAACGAAATTTACAAATTGTTCAGAATTACTACACCCTTATGAAAAATAAATTCTGGAATTTGTCCAGAATTTTCCGTAGTGTTCAGATAATGTCCGGAATCCACCATGTTTCGGTATAAATTCCGGACAATATCAAGACATCACGAGAAGTCCGAAATCCATCATGTTTTGGTACACTTCCCGGACGATTTTGACATTTCCAGGACATTTTCCACATGTACTCGGACATTTTCGATAACATTTTCTGGACATTTTTTTTTTATAGGGCACTTAATATCTAGCTTTTTCAAAATTATTAATTAATGAACATCTCCTGTAGAGCGGAGGATTACCAACAGATTTTACATCACTATTTTATTTAATTTGTACGCCAATAGTTGTTAGCGGGTCGCATTCATTTCACCGACAACCATTTTACCGACAATTATTTTACCGACAAACATTTCATAGACAGGATCATTT